GCACGGGCGCATGCACGCACGCACGCACGCGCACGCACGCGCACACACGCACACACGCACACGCGCACGCACGCGCAAACGCACACGCACACGCACACGCGCGCGCACATGCACACGCACTCGCACGTGCACACGTACGCGCACACGCACACGAACGCGCACACGCACACGCGCACGCACACGCACTTGCACTCGCACTCACACGCGCGCGAGCACGCACACGCACACGCGCGCGCGCCCAGGCATACGCACACGCACACGCGCACGCACACGCGCACACGCACCCACACGCACCCACACGCACCCACGCGCACCCACACGCGCCCACACGCACGCGCGCACACGCGCGCACACGCACACACGCACACACGCACACACGCACACGCGCACACACGCACACACGCACACGCACACACGCGCACAAGTGCACGCGCGCGCACACGCGCGCACGCGCGCGCACACACGCACGCGCGCACACGCGCACACGCGCACACGCGCACAAACACACACAATCGCACGCGCGCGCGCCCGCACACGCGCCAGGCGCGCGCACACGCCCGCGCGCGCACGCGCGCACGCGCGCCGCGCAAGCGCGCACGCGCGCACACGCACGCATTCGCACACGCGCACACGCGCGCAAGTGCACGCACGAGCACACGGGCACACGCGCACGCGCGCACACGCGCGCACGCGCACACGCCCACACGCGCACGCGCGCACACGCGCACGCGCGCACGCGCGCGCACGCTCGCGCACGCGCGCGCGCACTCACTCTCGCGCAAACGCGCGCAGGCGCACACGCGCGCACACGCGCGCACGCGCACGCGCTTACAAACGCGCACGCACGCGCGCACACGCGCACGCGCGCGCAGCCGCACACGCGCACGCGCGCACGCGCGCACACGCGCACGCGCGCGCACGCGCGCGCACGCGCGCTCGCACGCGCGCACACGCGCACGCGCGCACACGCTCGCGCGCGCACGCGCGGACGCGCGCACGCGCGCGCACGCGCGCGCGCACACGCGCACGCGCGCACACGCGCACGCGCGCTCACGCGCACGCGCGCGCTCACGCGCTCACGCGCACACGCGCACACGCGCACACGCGCACACCGCGCGCACGCGCGCTCTCACACGCGCGCGCGCGCAAACGCGCGCGCACACGCGCGCGCGCAACACGCGCACGCGCGCGAATGTGCGCGCGCGCGCTCACGCTCTGCGCGCACACTCGCGCGCGCACGCGCGCACGCTCGCGCGCACGCTCGCGCGCGCGCACTTTCTCACGCGCGCGCGCGCGCGCACTCGCGCACACGCGCGCGCGCGCTCACGCGCCCACACGCGCACGCGCGCACACGCGCACGCGCGCACGCGCGCGCGCGCACGCGCGCACTCGCGCACGCGCGCACGCGCGCACACCGCGCGCACGCGCACGCGCGCACGCGCGCACACGCGCACACGCACATGCGCGCAAACGCGCACACGCGCACGCGCACATACGCACGCACGCGCACACACGCACACGCGCA